GTTCAGCACCTCTCTTTGGCCATACTTCCTCTTTACACCAAATCTTATGTTAAGTAAGAGCAAAAGAAATGTTTATTTTTTAAAGCTTCAGAAAGAATTGTTAAAATGCTAATGATTCTTAAAAAAATGGTTACATTTTTTAATTGATTTTTTTGTTCACAGCTGATATTTTTTAACTTGGATTAGCAGCAATCATCATTTCAATTTGTGAACATTGAAGAATGGGAAAGACGAGTTTTTGTTAGGTTCCACAAACCTTATATAACTAGAAATTACCTTTTTCTCCTCTTCTCATAGAATGTTTTTATTGAGTCAGCTTATCTCAGCATTTTCAAGACTTTCACAATTACTGTTATACCTTTTCATAGAATAGCTCCGATGTTTATTTTTATTGAATGGTATAACCAAGCTTATTCCTGCACACTTACCCTCTATATAGAGATTAGGAATCAAGTCGAGATTTTAAAAGCCATTGGTTTTTATATGAAACAGTAAATCTGACTTTAGGTTAGAGTTGAATATTATTGAATTAATTAAATATTTTTTGTAATTAATTGTGTGAAATTTTGATAAACTGTAGTAGCCATAGTTGTATAATCTTGTATTCTACTTCCTTTCCTGTCACATGTTGTTCATATATCTGAACTTCTTATAGCTTTTATACTCAAACTTCTCAAGGCTATTTTTGAACTTAGACTGTTTATTCTAGCATAGCTCAAAGCATGAGGAATATATGTACTTTTGTATATAATTTTGCTTTCTCTAATTTTTAATAATTAACATGTTCATTATTATCTCTTTTAAAGGTCAGGCATTAGATTTAACTTGTTTACTATATATAAAGACTGAAAATGCAAAATTTGTGAAATTATATTTTACCTTTAATTATATAGATATAGAGAAATATATTTCTCTATTCCTGCTACTGGTTTTGCAGTACAAAGAACAATGTCATCACGATTATCTAAAGACACAAAAGAGGCCAGGAAAAAAAATGTATTAATGGCGATATGTAATTGTTGGCATTAAAATGTTCTACTTTAAAATACATGCCACTTGTTCACATCCCACCAAATTAAACTCATTACTAAGGTATCTACTCTCACTCATAGCAACCTATAGGACAGAGTATAACTGCCCCTAAAGGATTCCAAGGCTGTAAATCTTTATGCAAGCAGACTGCCACATCTTTGTCCCACAGAGTGGGCTGATGAAGTAGTTTAATTACTTTCAGAGTAATTAGTGATATTTACATTTAGTCATGTTTTCTCAACTTTAGCTCACTTTAAGTTGCCTTTTAGTATTTTTTTCTTGGTTACTCTTATAAAAATGAATAGTCATGTTGATAATTTATAGTATATTATTTTTACATTGAATATAATTATATCTTATTTTTTTTATAAACCAGAATCATAATAACAACATCTGTTTTGGTTTGGAATGGCAGATTTTATGGTACCATAGGCTAAATGGATATAAACCTGGATGAGCTCTTAAAAATACTCTGAACATCTGTCTCCTTTCACGTTTGGGACTTCCTTTTAGATATACAGCAAATAATGTGACTTCTTGAACAATGAATATAACATGACTTATGCTTCGGTTAATTTGCTTCTTACAATATATTCTCACAATATATTGCGAAGCAGAATATATTTTACCATTTTGGAACTGTATGGGTCTGTAATTTGAAGAGGCCTTACTTAAGAATCTTTAAATTCTTTCATTATACATTAAAAAGACAGCCATTAGTTCCTTGAATTTTCCTATATTGTAGAAATATTGTGGGGCTAAATAAACACACTTAACTTTAATTCCCCAGGAAATTTGACTAGCTCCTTTTTTCTCATCTTTCTTTTTTCCCTTAACTCTGATAATAAAATGTTTATACCTCTCTCGTAGTTTGTAACCTACATTTTCCCTGTATAGTAGTAACATCGGTAAGTTCCTAGTGAGCAGGACCTGTATTTATTAATACTTGTCTACCATAAAGTTACTAGCAGAGTCCTTGGCTCATGGCTAATGCATTTGGCTGCTAACCAAAATGTTTGAAGTTCAAGTCCACCCAGAGATGCCTGGGAATAAAAACCTAGCAACTCTATGGAGCGCAGCTCTACTCTTAGACACAAAGGGTTGCCGTGAGTCAGAACCCACCCAATAGTAACTAGGATTGGTACGACTAGAGTACCTAGCAAAGTGCTTGAAATATCAAGTGTTACACACAATATTTTATTAATCTGGTATGATTTCTTCTGCTCATCTTTTTCAAATTTTCTGTGTCTCTTCCTTCTCCATGTAAGATTGGCACAACTTTCCTTATTTAATTACTCTTTTTGGTCCTGAAAGTAATTTAGAAGTCTCATGAACTGCATCAGAGATTTGACTCTTGTATTGATTGCATACATACTAATGTAGAAATGTAAGACAGATAAACGTAACATTCTGTTGACTCCAGTCTATTGTGACTAAGGGATGCTCTGAGATAGTGCGGAGAGTTTTGTTATCAAGAAAATCCCTACTAGTTGTTAGCTGTATGACTGTTTGAAAGTTATTTCTCTGAACTTAATTTCTCCTTTTCTTTGAAATCAGGCATAATCCTTCTTTATAAATCTAAAATGAAAATCAAATACTATGAAACAATCAGAACAGTCAGGACTCCTTTGAGTATTCATGTCCTTCTCCGTTGTTGTAGTTGGTGCATCTCTCCGTTGTGGCCATTCCTGATCTCTGCAGTCATTAGCTCTGCTCTCTGCCAGCCTCTTTCACAGAGTAGCTTTTGCGGTCTCCCTTCTTTACCACCAACTAGTAGGCTTTTTCTTATTTCTTGACTCTTTATCAGTCAGTTCTGCTTTTTGTCTCGTTAGTCAGTTTTTTATAACGGTGTTTAGTTAGAATCACTGACATTCTGTAGGAATATGCCCTTCCTCTTTATTATTAATAGACATTATTAATGTAATTGTATATAAGTATGATAGACATACAAATACAGTAAACACAATAAATATTTTACATATGTAGTGTAGTAAGAGTCTTTGAATTCATGACCCTTTACAGTTGTCATGTGACTTAACTATCATTAATTATTTTCTGGGCACAGCATCACTTATAGGTAGGAAATGCAAATGTGAGTAAGATATAATCCTTACCTACAGTTATTTATAGTCTTCTGAACTGTTAAAGTGCAAAGCAGATTGGTGACAAGTGTTGTATTAGAGATACCCAACCTATTGCCCTTGAGTTGGATCCGACATAGCGACCCCTCCTTGGGTTTCCAAGGCAGTATCACTATGGAAGTAGATTGCCCAACCTTCCTTCCATGTATTAGAGGTACATGTATGAAAATACCAGACACATATGTAATTTTACATTTTCTAGTGACTGCAATTAAAAAAAAAGGTGAAATTTAAGAACGTATTTTTTAACTTAATATACCTATAATATTGTTTAAACATGCAGTCAGTACAATAAATTTCTAATGATGTTTTACTCTCTCTCTCTAATTTGCATTTGTAGTAAAGTCTTCAAAATCTAGTATGTATGTTATTTGTTTATTATATAAACAAATCATCTTATTTTGTGTGGAACAGACTTGGTTTTAGCACCAAAAGTTCTACATCCCAAGATCCTAGGGAACCCCATAATCCTAGGAAAACTAGGATAGTTAGACACCTTATTTAGAGTGTATTTCAATTTGAACTTCATAGGTCTATATTTGAATTAATAAAATGTACAAATTAAAAAAAAAATAGATTGACTTAACCAAGTTGCGAAAGTTTTCCAATATGGAATTGATTATCAGTTTTTAAATTGAAATAAAATTAATAATTCATTTCTTAAGTTACATTGGCATATTTCAAATTCTAATAGCCAAATGCTTCTAGTTGCCTTTTTGGATACAAGTTTAGAATACTAAAAGTATGAGGATTTAATTAGTGTACTTCATACGCATATAAACTATGATAAGAGCTGTTTTGAATCTGTCAATTGGTAGATCCAGTATTGGTCACTGTTACCAGCAAATATCAGAAGTAAATTGTACATAAACTTGTCACATCTCCATTGCTGGTTAGCTAGCCCACTGTCATACTATATTTTAATTATTATAATCTTCATCTTTCAAAATAGTCTGTTTTTGTATTTTCTTTGACATATTTTGGGGCTTTGTTCTAGAATTCAGCATGTTACTTGGAAACAAATTTTTCATTTCAAGACCTTGCTCTCTAACTTTGTTTAGATAGATCTACAGTATCTAGTTTGGCCTCACTGCTGAGGATTCTATTTAATGTCTTATGTATTTGAAAGTCTTTCCACTTAGACTAGATGGAACTATTCCTTGTCCTCTGTAAGCTCTGGGTGTTTTTCAGCCTGGTTGTTTTTTCCTTGTCTTCTGATAGTTTTCTTACACACGTGAGCTAATCAGTACTCAGGTGAAGACAATACCTAGTGCAGATCTCCTGAGTACTTTCTTTGTGCAGCTCTTTCCTGTCCAATACTCTGTCCCATGAATTCTAGCCATCTTGACTTCTTGGAACGTTGTCTTCTCAACTCAGGGATTAGGGATTAAATTGGACTAATCTTTTCCATTTTCAGGGATCACTGTCCTTCACTGCCTGTCTAAACACAATCATTTAAAATAGCTTGTCTTTTTTTTTAAGTTGTTTGAAAATGGAATGTTAAATCCAGTTTATGTTACTCCATTATGACTGGAAATGAAAGTGAGCCCATGGTATTTCTTTTAACCATGTAGTTGAAAATAGCATATGGTTGGAGATTATCCTTCTTTTTTTTTAGACTTGCTTTTAAATTTGTTCATAGAGCGTATTATTAACCTATTTAAAAAACCACAGGATGACCACTAATGAAGAATTAAAAATGAACATAGTTTATCATTCATATGTTTGGTACAAAAAGTGGTACATATGTTTGTGAGAATATTATGTAGTCAATGTTAACGTTTTAAATTATCTAATAAGCTAATCAGAATAATTAATCTTTTACAGACTGAGAGTAACCATGACACAGCACTAACACTTGCCTGTGCTGGTGGTCATGAGGAACTGGTACAAACACTGCTAGAGAGAGGAGCTAGTATCGAGCACCGAGACAAGAAAGGTAGAATCTAATTTTGTTAACATTTTTCCTGCAATATTTATATTTATGTTGTGTGGAATACTACTTTTAGCCCTTTTTTGATGCTTAGTATTTTTCTTTTGCTAAGCATGTAGTGATTAGATCATTATTTTCCTCCGTAGTGATTAGATCATTATTTTCCTCCAGGTTTTACTCCACTTATCTTGGCTGCTACAGCTGGTCATGTTGGTGTTGTGGAAATATTGCTGGACAATGGTGCAGACATTGAAGCCCAATCAGAAAGAACCAAGGACACACCACTATCCTTGGCTTGTTCTGGGGGAAGACAGGAGGTAACATTACCCCTAATACAATTTTTTCTTCCTCTGTTTAGCACAGGTATACTTTAAACTCACATGATTTTATCTATCAGAACAATGGTTTTACATTGAACTCTATGAATTAAAAAGAATTGGAGCTTAGTGATGAAACAGGAATAATTTTTTTTTCCCCCTTAGTTTTTGCTTGGCTCTTCCTATACTTTTGCCCTTTTATATTTGGAGTAGATATGTGTATGGATAGTTAGATGTACTTGCTACCAGAGGTGTACTGCACAAAAGAAGGTAAGGGAGTTGTCCCTACTTTGTTGTTTCTTCTGGTTGTTAATGTGAATGCAGTCATACCATTTTTCTTCTGTAATCAACAGTGGAGGCGATTGTTGGTATGCATTTAGTATTTTAGTGTTTATTATTAATAGTGAGTAAGGGGAAGCGCAAAAGCTATGATCCTGAGCAATACTTAAGATCTGTGCCTCATTTGTAAAATAAGGATGAAGATACTAGTACCTATGTCAAAGTGTTAATAGCTAAAAACTGGAAACAGCAGAGGTATCAATAGAATGGCATGCATACTCATACATAATCATATTAAACAGCAAAAAGTTACTGATAAACCCAGAAATATTATGCTAAGTGAGAGGAAGCCTAACATCAAGAGTACATAATGTGTGATTTCATTTATATGAGCATCTGAAACAGATTAAATTGGTCTCTTGGTGGGGATTGACTGGGAAGGGCCATGAGTGAATAACAGGGATTTAGATTATACATAGGTTTATGTGTTTGCCAAAACTCAATGAATATATACTTAAGTTTTGAGCATTTAAATTACATGTAGGTTTCACTTTCTCCCCGCCCCCAAAATCCTTAAAACGTGATATAGTCTAGTTAATGCTAATACATGCTCAAATATCTAGGGAAAATTACAAGTGTCTTTAGTTTACCTTTAAATTCAATTTAAAAAATAAGATGGAAAGATAAATACATATGATAAAATGAGTATAGTATAATTTTGATTGTTGATGTGAATGTATGTAGGTATATGTGGGTATATGAGTGTTCACTGTAAAATTTTCTTCAGCTTTTTTGGTATACTTAAAACTTCATAGTGAAATATAAGGAAATAAAAGTATTAGCAGTACCCTATTATTTTATTTAAATTTTTAGTTATTGATTGAAAGTTAAAAAAATATTACAAATACTTGCAAATGTGTAAATGAAAAAGGTCTTGTCCCATTGTTTTCCATTTTACCACTGTGTTGTATAATCATATATAAATAATAATTTCCAAACTATCACGTCATGGCAGTATGTGAGGTCTGGATCTTCCATGGCATGTTAAGCCATTTCAAGATAGTAAATGTATTTTACTTGACATGTTACTTCATTGCCTTCTACAACTCTTGCTGAAAGGCTGGTTTCGTACAGAGGATGAAAGGCCTTTTCCTTCTGTTGTGCAATATATCAGAAATAAAGGAGAAATCAGAAGTACACAACTTGAAAATTGCCTCACCATATGAAGAAAACACATTGTTTTTTCTTCTGTCTTTCCAGGTGGTGGAGCTACTATTAGCTCGAGGGGCAAATAAAGAACACAGGAATGTTTCCGATTATACACCTCTAAGTCTGGCTGCTTCTGGAGGCTATGTGAACATCATCAAAATATTACTAAATGCAGGAGCTGAGATTAATTCTAGGCAAGCTTTATTCTCTCTATTTAGTAAAAGTATTATATTAAAAATATTTAAATATTTATTTTTATGCCACATTTAGGAATTACTTTACTAAAAATTGAGAACCCAAATTGTTGGAGATTTTTGAACATTAATGTTATTTAAGTAATTGCAACTGCTGACAAAGGACTTGAAAAATATAAATTACTGTATTATGATACCAAGAAGAAACAGATCTTAATGAGTTTTTATCAAAAGCAAGCAAATGAATACGTTAGGATAAAAAGTCCAGCCCAAGTCATTAGTAGTAAAAGATTTCTAATGGAGTCTTGATAGTATCTTAAAGACGACTTATTACTAGGCTGAGAAGAATTGTGATTTTAAATCCTGCAAAATAAAGAATCGTAAATAAAATTTTATATTTTTTTTTTCCCGGGTCATTTAAAATGTATATATGTATGTGTGTTTGTATAATTGTTCTTCCCATACTTTTACCCTCAGAACTGGTAGCAAATTGGGCATTTCTCCTCTGATGTTAGCAGCTATGAATGGACACACAGCTGCTGTTAAACTTCTGTTAGACATGGGATCTGACATAAATGCCCAGATAGAAACCAATCGGAACACTGCCCTTACCTTAGCCTGCTTCCAAGGAAGAACTGAAGTGGTTAGTCTTCTGCTTGATAGAAAAGCAAATGTTGAACACAGAGCTAAGGTAAAGTTTATACTTGATTTTATTACTTTGATATTTAAGGTGTACAGTATGTCAGTTATAATTATGCTTCCTAGTTTTATCTTTCACATATATATTTATTCAGAAATCATTCTTATAGGAGTCAATCAAGCATTAACTTTTGAAAATATGTCAACAGTAGGTTTCAATAGATAGTAATGACATTAGAACCTGTTACCCCAAACTAATTTGTTTGTTCTTCTGGTCAACCAAACCAAACCTGTTGCTGTCAATTCCAAGTCATGAATACCCTACAGTACAGAACAGAACTGCTCCATAGGGTTTCCAACACTGTAATCTTTATGGAAGCAGACTGTCACATCTTTTTCCCACAGAGAAGTCGGTGGTTTCAAGCTGCCTGACTTTCGGTTAGCAGTGAGTGCTTAATCACTGATCCTCCAAAGCTCTTTGTAGTGTTACTATGAGTTGCAATAAACTCAACAGCAACAGGTTAATAACAGGTTGATCAGTTGAAAAATATGTACTGTTATAAAAGAGAAGGGAGAGGAGCACCTAATGAGTGACAGGTATATGCCAAGTGCTTGCATATTATACAACTTTTTTTTTTCATAGCTGTACCATTGAGTATAAGGAGAATTATCTGTTTTTAATGGATTAGACTGTAACTAAGGCTAATATCAGGAAGGTGGTAAGTGACAATGCTGAAATACAGTTGTGAATCCTTAGAATAGCTACACCAAATTGCTTCCCCAGATTGTTTTAACATTTTAGCTCTTTCCAGTCTCTTACATGTTCTTTTTATTTTCTACTAAACTTAGACTGGCCTCACACCACTAATGGAAGCTGCCTCTGGTGGATATGCAGAGGTGGGCCGAGTTCTTTTGGATAAAGGTGCTGATGTTAATGCCCCTCCAGTGCCCTCTTCGAGAGATACAGCTTTAACCATAGCAGCAGATAAAGGACATTATAAATTCTGTGAGCTTCTTATTGGCAGGTATTATGTTAACCTTTGTATATGAACACCATGATACCAGTGATTACCATGTTCTCTGGGCGATTGTACTATGAAAAATCAGTTGTAATTACTTCTTCTCTAAATTGCTGGTGTATTTTTTCAAACCTGTCTTTACTATTTTCCACCTATCCAGAGCCATTGTCTGGTCTCCTTTTTTCAATCCAACCTAAAATAACTCTTGTCTTCCTTTGTTGTCTGTGCAGATACACTTTTAAGTTACTATAATAGCTTCCTAGCAGTTGTTACCCATACTCTCATATCTCTAGCTCACTCTTAATAGTCTGGCAATAATCTATGGCTTCATTGCTGAATTTCTTGTTCTTTATAGTAATTAGGACTTCTAGGTGATGGTTGTAGAACTAGTCAAAGTATCAAATGAGATCCAGCAGTTTCAGTTTCAGTCAGTTAGAAGTTACCTGTTAGTCTTCCAAAGATGCTTGGTTGCTTAATTGGATTTCCTGAACTGTCTTAAAGACCTTTGGATGATGTCTTAAGCAGTAGCCACTATTAATTGTTATTATTCACCATAAGTCTTGTTACTTACGATTTTATTCACTGAATTCTTCATGTTATTCTTCATGATATTCTCAGGTTCATTCTTCCTAAAGCCACATACTGCAAATGCATGAAAATCTGGAACTGATATGTTTGCCTCATAGCATACTTTTTGTGTTTCTAGGCTACTGTTTATTTAATACATTGATTATGAGGCTACTTTTATTTTTCACTGAACACAATTTCACATTTTGTCATCACTTAAAACTCAGAATTATGCAAAAAGTGTTATTATCTTAAAAATAAAAACATATTGATCGATAAAGTTATCATTTATTAAGTAACTGCTTTTAGTTTTATACCTGGAAATTCTTTGTAATGTAATTCTGAGGGAAAAAAAAGTCTACTGTAGTCTTTGAATAATAAAACAATTTTAGTCTTTACAGAATATTTTCAGAAGTTAATAGTTGGTTATTATTATCTGTCTTGTTCCATTTCATTTAAGACAGTGCTATCTATTTCATTTTTAGGGGAGCTCATATTGATGTGCGTAACAAGAAAGGGAACACTCCATTGTGGCTGGCAGCAAATGGTGGACACCTAGATGTGGTTCAGTTATTGGTACAAGCAGGTGCAGATGTGGATGCAGCAGATAACCGCAAGATAACTCCTCTTATGGCAGCATTTAGGAAGGTAGAGGGTTTTATTTCCCTCTCATTCACTTGGATGTTTTACATAAGCTCTAGGAAGTGCATAATGATTACTGAAGGCTTTCATTTTATAATTTAACAGCTATGAGAAAAGTAGTAAACTATGCAAAAATTTAATCTATTGGCATCATTGGAAGGTAGACACAAATTTCTCAGAAAATCGTTAATATTCATCATACCACATACTAAAAAGCTGTTAAAAGTAGTATTTTCAAAATGTAGTTACAGTCTTAACCTTTCAGAGTATAGATCCAGTTAAGGGTATTACAGAATTCTCATACTCCATGCAGGAAGACACCATTTGATTCTCAGCCAGTGCACATAATGCACAGCCACCACCCATTAGCTTGTGCATTACTGATGCTGAGGTTTCAGCGTAACTTCTAAAATAAGACAAGAAGAAAGGGCCTGTGATCTTCTTTTGAAATTCCTCAATCCATCATAAAGTGGCACAGGACCCCCTGTTTTGTTCTGGTATTCATGGGGTTGCCATTAGTTGAAAGTGCATTCAAAGCTATTTAATAACAACAATTGTAGCTACTTACTTGTATGTATGAGAGGGTTTTTTTTTAATACATTTTATTGAAATATAATTTATGTACAGTGAAATACACAAAACTAAGGTCTTTTTACTCCAGTTATGTTGATTTTATTTTTAATATTTTGTCACAAGAAAAAAAGGAATTAAATAATGAAAATCCGACTGGCTGATATTTGAAACTATTCAAGATCAGTATACCACATTTAGAAGTAATGACTTTTGTGAAAATGAGAAGTGCATTTCTCTTTCTATAGTACGTAACACAGACTGTGTATATATACTTTTATTTAATGATTTGGTTGATTACTTTGATGTAATTTTTATTTTTAATGGAAAACAGGTTACTCTAAAGGATCATAATTTTGAGTTTTATCATGTGATATATGTAGATAAAATTCCCTGTAGTTTCTAAGTTGTTTTATTGTATTGAAAAATTCTGATTTACAAATGACAAAAAAATCATCTCTTCTTTTTCTTTTGTTCTTTTCCCTTTTGTTATTTCACCTTTTCACTAGGTATTTCAGACTACTTAGCCACTGATCTTTGTTGACTTTCATTTTTCCCCTCACCAGTCAAACATAATTCTCATAGACTACCTACCTCTTTTCCAAGCAAGGTAGCAAATCATTATCAGTTATCTTCGTAAACATTTTCACTATATCGGTATCCTGCTCAAGACTTTTTCCTTCCTCTCCATCTCTGAAATCACTTGAAAATCACTTGTAATCCAATCCTAGCTTGGTATTTGAACTTTGCCATTATGAATCTCTCATGTGTACAGGCTTGTTCTCATTGTTTTGTCTCTTCCTTGTCCCTGTGCGTGTATGTTCTGGAATGTCCATGTCCTTACTCCAAAATTACTCATTCTATGGCTTTAGTTTAAATTCCCCTTTGTACACAGGCTCTTTCCATTCTGTTTTGCTCACATTTAGCTCAAATTGAGATATCTAATAATTTTATCTTACTTTTTCAATTAGACTTTGTCCTAAGAACAGTAAAAGTGCTTATTTTTTATATGTTTTTGTATTCATTCTTTTTTTTTATTTTCTCACTAGCTACCATGTGCAATTGCAGTGGTTGAGATTATAATGTTATGTAGGGCACAAGAGTTCCCCCTCCCCCAAAAATATGTAATTTAATAGGAGAGATAAGATCTATACACAAAGCCAGATAACCTTGAGTTGTACGATATAAATAGTTGAAACCAAGTGCTTTAGAAGTTCTGGAAGAGATCATCAGAGATTGATGCAAATGGTATTTGAGCTATTCATCAAAAAATGTTGCTGTTAAGGTGTTGTCAAGATGATGCCAACTCATAGCAACTCTCTATGACAGAGTAGAACTGCCTCATAGGGTTTCTGGACTGTAATTTTTATGGAAGTAGATTAACAGGTCTTCCTCCCTCGTAGCTACTGAAGGCAATATAATGGAAACTAATAAAGAGTTATTTATGTCAGAATCGACTCATGATTGAGTCGTTAGAGCAGAACTCAGTCATAAGTTGGGGGCTACCTATATGTGAAAAGGAAGACCTAGAATGGTAGAGAAAATACATTAAAAATAACTATTTATGGCTTACTTGGGTTAGTGAGCAGTAGTGTATGTGAAAGTAGACTGGAGAAAATGGAGGGAGCCTCTTGAATGTGAAGAATCTATGTATTTTCAACTTTAATTCTCGAATCCGTTATGTTATAGTGAGTAATATAATCATAGCTTGTGCTTTAGAAAAGTGCTTATCTTTCATACTCCATAGTACAGTGCTATGCATTCTTTTCTTACCTGAACAAACAAAATTGTTACTTCTCTTTAATGAGTAGACTTTATCTTTAGAGAGTTAGCAACAAATAAAAGTTACTTTTTTTTCTTTAGATGTATCTCTACTTCTCTTCAGTACTAATTTGTGGATTATGTTATTGTTCATAGTGGATTTGAATTTTATGCCAGAGTATTGATTATTCTGCACCTTTTTAAGGGTGGGTTGGGATGAGAATGTAGATTTAACTTAATAGAACCAAAGCCCTCCGCTTTTTTAAGATAGAGTAAAAGTCTTTATAACAGCGATACTAAAAGAATCTTAGTTAAGGCTGACTGTGTAGACTTACTCAGTCATACTGGAGTCTGCTTTCACTCTGACACTGATACCTATTTTTCAGGGTCACGTGAAGGTGGTGCGCTACTTAGTCAAAGAAGTCAATCAGTTTCCATCAGATTCTGAATGTATGAGATACATAGCAACCATCACTGATAAGGTAATGTTCAAATTCATCACACTATACTAGCTAGGGACCCATTTGGTTTGAAATACATGTCCATGTTAAAACAAAAAAACTTAGTTTGAGAAGTAAATGGTGGTTACATGTTAAATTTGATTTATCTAGTATTTGGGAATGAAGTATGCTGTTTAAGAGACTTGCACATTATTTACTTAATGAAGCAATAAAACATTCTGTATGGTAGGATTACTTTATCTTTAAATAGTACTTGAACTAATTTGACTTTTATGTGAACATTAAATGTGATAATAGCAAATATTCTTATTATCCATTAGTGCTGTCATCATGTTTATCTAGACAGATACCTATTCTGAGAGACTGATAAGCCCAGTGGAATTTATTATTATTGCTAAGCAAAAATGAACATAGTCTGTTAGTCATGGGCAAGAGAATTCTTTTTTTTCTTTTTTAATTGTGATTTGGGTGAAAATTTACAGAGCAAATTCACTTTCCGTATAGCAGTTCACATACACTTTGTCTCATGACATTGACTGCAATTTACCACAATGCACCAGCTCCCCTCCCACTTCCTCCCAATAGTTACTTCTTCCCTGTGTCCATCCCTCCATGCACTCCTGCCCCTTGAGCTGTCTCCCTGTGCATAAACAGCCCTTCTTTTTCCCACAGTTGTTCTTTCCAAAGAGTGTATCTACCTTAGGTAAATGTTCAACTCATATGCCTATCTTTTGTTTGGCTGGAAGCCACCGGTGTGGGTTCAATTCCAGACCTGAAGGGCAGCTAGAGGCTGTAGTCTCAGTGGTTCCACCAGGCTCTATCAGACCAGCAAATCTGGTCCCTTCTTTTTTTTTTCTCCAAATAATTTTTGAGTTTTGTTCCACATTGTTCTCCCTCTTTATCTAGGATCTCCTCTAAGTGGTTGACAGTGGTAGCCAGGCACCATCTAGTTGCAGGAGAATTCTATTAAGGTGTTTAACATTTTATGAAAGTTGGGGTAGCTGTCATCACAAGAATGATTTTTTTTTTTCCTGGAGAAAATAGGAAAGATAAAATAAATGTTTACTAGAGAACTGATTGAGATCTTTCTCTGATGGTGTTTTTTTTTTTTTATTAGGATTTGGGTGAAGATTTACAGAGTAAATTCACTTTTCATACAGCAGTTCACATATACTTTGTCTCATGTCATTGACCAAAATTTACAATGCAGCAGCTCCCCTCCCACTTCCTCCCCATAGTTACCTCCTCCCAGTGTCCATCCCTTCACCCTTCATACTCTTCGAGAGGCCCATTGTCTGCCAACCCTGTATATGATCTTGGATACACTCTCCATTTAGACATACATAATTGTTTAGCTTGTTCACCCATCTATCCGTCCCTATACCCATGTTTGCTTTCATTGACAACTCAGTATTGTATTTACAAAGGGGTTCATATTTGTTGTTTGTACTGCCCATGTAACTCTCTCTGTCTTTCTCATCCTCAATGCTGCCATATTGGTCACTCACATTTGGTACATTGCCCTTCTCTTCACCCAAATCAATATTTATCTCTATCTATCTAACAGCATTCCCTCCTCTTCCCTCCCACCCCTGGTAACCAACAAAGAAAATGTCCTCCAATATATAAACCTTTCCTTAACTTTCACAATAACGGACTAATACAATATTTGTCCTTTTGTGACTGACTTATTTCGCTCAGCATAATGTCCTCCAAGTTCATCCATGTTATGCGGTGTTTTGCAGATTCTACATTATCCTTTAGCGTTGCATAGTATTCCATTGTGTGAATGTACCAAAGCTTGGTTATCCATTCCTCAGTTGTTGGACACTCTGATGGGGTTTTGATTTGTGACTTATACTAATAAATGAACAGAAACATTGGTATGTTCTTAAGCTAGAATCATAAATGCCTCTGAAAATGAAAAGATACTTCTTAACAAATGTAAAAATGTCTTTTTCTGTTATGTTTTCTCAATAGTTATTACATAATAGAGATCACCTTTTCCCCATAGATTTTGTTAACATAGTTGTCTCATGCATTTGTCTGCCTCTTGTTTCCTCTGTGAAAAAGCATTTATTTGCAGCACAGTTTTGGGGGTTTTTTTGGTAGGGGTTGGGTAGGGGATTTAAAAATAAGGCTTTTGTCCTTAATAAAGAAATAATCTCTTTGCTGTCATGAATTGTAAGTATCTGGGTCTTTGAGTCCTTTGTAAATGGTTCTTGCACATGAAGGTGTAGCGACAGAGCTTATGAGAACAATTCCTTCCAAATGAATATTTTTCAAAATCTTAAATGGATTTTCTTTGTTGATACTGACCCTTTACATTAGCACCATTAATCCCTTGACATATATTATTGCAGTTGTTTGCTGTATGATTTTCTGTATTCCAATTATAGGAATATATAATTTTAGTTTCCAAACTGCCATTCAGTGTATATTATTTTGAAGAATAGCAGAGACTCTTTGCTTGTGTGTTTGTTTTTTAAAAATATACCATTTAAATTGTTTTTGTTTACATCTCTATTTTAATTTTTCTACCTTGTCAGTGATCCTTATTGCTAATGTTTTAATAAATGTCTACATGTTTTTAGGAATCTCTCTAAATTTGATTTGCTTTTGAAGCTGGAAACATCTTAATTTTCTATTTTAGGAGATGCTGAAGAAGTGTCATCTTTGTATGGAATCAATAGTACAAGCCAAAGATAGACAGGCTGCTGAAGCAAACAAAAATGCCAGTATTTTATTAGAGGAGTTAGACTTGGAAAAGGTAATGATAATTTTTACATATGAAAACTACCCACTTTTTTCCCTCCTGCTTTTTTCTCCAAATTTGTAATCTACTGGTTTATTTTTTTACCATTTTGTTTTTCTTTAAGTTATATATAAGGACTTTGAAAGTTACTAAAATAATTTCCTTTAAATTAAAATTTTATTGTAGGAAGCACACAGATCTGTAAGTCAGAAAACATAACTTGAAATTCTAGATTTTAATTTTATCTTTACTCATAATTGGTTAATCTCCATCTAAGTCAGTAGTTACTGATCCCAGACATTGTAATTTACTGTCAACAGATTTGTCAGAAGTACCAATTGTATTCACTACCAAGCCATAGAGCTAGTGAAATACAACCACTTGGTGGAATGTATAATGTTTTAAATGGGTGACTTCTCTTGTACTTTTCTCTTTCAGGCAGACAACAGCATCACTCTCATCTGTTCACATGGGGAGTAAAATACTCCAAAACAGCATATCCCTACATATCCCTAATAACTCTGTGCTTTAGAACTTCATAGAACCATAGTAGGAGAGGAATTGATTGGCAAAGAATATTATAGAATGCATATTCTATATTTCATTGTTTAGAAAAGGTCAAAATATTACAAAATTTAGCATATACTTTTAAAATTTATAAAGGACACATACAATGATCCTCTTACCTTTTTTGACTTGTCAGGTCCATTTTTTTACTATATGTACTAGCATTATTAAGCTGTATGTCATCCTGCATTTCTGAAAAATATTTAACATTGGAAATTCTTATTTTAAGAAAATTCTGGCTTAGGTTTTGATTAAATTAAACCAACTCCTCACTTACCGACTGTCTCAGTAGCTGACATTTTGCATTAATGACACATTTCTGGCAGTAAAGAATGCCAAAGTCCCTGACTGGCCGACTTGTGTGCACAAAGCAAGGAAGCTCGTTATGTAGTATTCATTGCCCAGGAGAGGAGAAGAGGCACAGTGTCCCCAAGTTGCTGTGTTGTGGGAAGGGGCAGAGAGTAGGGCTGGTGGGCACAGGATGCTGCCTGGTAGTTCTTATGTGTCCATAAGGGCTTGAACATGGGGCAGCCGCCACCATTGTCATGAAGGTCGGCTACTTTCATTGCCATGGAAGAAGCAGGACTCTGGGGTCTCGCCCCAGCTCCCTGCCCAAAAGGGCTACAGGGGTGGGTCAGGAACCTTGAGATTGGTCATTTGGGGGCCTAGGGCCCACTAGACACCATATCAGCTGTTTAGCACCTATATAGCCCCTATGCTTCCTCATTGCCCTCTCCAGGGCAGGGCAGGGTGGGCTACTTGGGAAGGGATGAGGTCAGTAGGAGAGTGGCCACTGATAGCTGCAGTGTAAGGATAAGGGCAGAGGCCATCCTTTGGCCTTCAGGGCCTCAGAGGACACTCTGGATAGTCAGTTTTCATTGGTATTGGAACACAGTGTGTGCAAGTGTGGTAGGGCCATCCATTGGGAGGTGCTCAGCTGAGGAGCCGGTGGGGAAATCAGTGGATTTCCTTTTTTCCCCGTGGTACCCAGGCCTTCCTGTCCCTGAAAAAAATCACCAAATGCATTTTGGGGTTATTGAGAGGATGCACCAGGGCTATTCGTCCTGAAAATATGTTGAGCATTGAGGGTAGAAGAGGAAGAGGACTCCAGAAATGGGGGGAGAGGTGGTACTTGGGCCATCTTGGCTTTGGAATGCTGGGTGGCCCTCCTCTTGGACTGTGGTGGTGGTTGAGTTCTGAAGTGGTGAAGGGGAGGGGGAAGCAGTGGTGGTGATATAGTGGTGGTAGCTTACCTCAGCAGGGCCCCAGACTTTCATAGTAGAGGAGAGGTGATGGGATCACCATCCATTTTTGCATAACATCGATTTTCACATAATGACCTGGTGTTTGGGATGTAATCATGTCAATATAAGGAATGGGTGTAAAATGATTTTTTTTGGGGTGACCATTTTAAAATTTTAAAGAATGGGAATAGTTTGAGGTAAGATGTTATAATCACCATTATTACATGACCCAATTTCATTTTCATCTAAAAATATTACTTTTGGTAGCATAGTGGCTAAAGCACTTGACTGCTAACCAGAAGGCTGGCGGTTCAAACCCACCAGCCACTCCTCGGAAGGAAGGTTGGGCAATCCTACTTCCATAGTGATACTGCCTCGGAAACCCAAGGAGGGGTCGCTATGAGTCGGGGCCGACTCGACGGCACATAACAACAACAACAACATTATACATTAAGAGACCATATCTGTCAGGAGTTAAGTAACTTGCCTAAGCTAGGCTAGTCTTTGAACTTTTTTTTTTTTTAAATTCTAAAGCCCATTTCATTGTTGAACTTACTCTGTATCTTTTAGTTTTTTCATTCTAAGTGCATGTAAAGTATGTATGGTTTTTTTTTTTTTTTTCATTTTTAAGACCTTATTTTTAAAGGTTAGAATCTCTATGTAATAATTATTTCATGATCATGTTCCATGTATCATTTTTATAAATCTAGAAAATGATTGTTCTATAGCTGATACATTGATCTCTGTTGTTAAATAAGATCTTTAGTTTTTTTCATTTCTTAGATGCTTATAACTGACATAAATACATTTGAGAATTTACTGTGTACCTTTGGATTACAAAGGGAGCCCTGGTGGTGTGCAGTGGTTAAGTGCTTGACTGCTAACCAAAAGGTCTGTAGTTTGAACCCACCAGTAGCCCTGTAGGAGAAAGGGTCTGGCTATCTGGTTCTATATATATAAAGATATAAAGACACATCTTTATATATATCCTGTATATAAAGATATAAAGTTTAGGAAGTACTACTTTGTCCTATAAGGAGCTCTGGTGGCATAGTGCTTAAGGCATTTGACTGCTAACCAGAAGGTTGGCAGTTCAAACCCACCAGCCACTCTGTGGAAGGAAGACTGGGCAATCTACTTCCATAAAGATTTACTGCCTCGGAAACCCAAAGGGAGTCACTGTGAGTTGGAGTTGACTTGATTGCAGTGTGTTCTGTTTTTTTTTTTTGTATACTCTGTCCTATAGGATCATTAGCCACTCCTCGGAAGGTGGGGCAGTCTACTTCCATAGTAATACTGCCTGGAAAACCCAAGGAGGGGTGGCTTTGAGTCAGTCCCGACTCCATGGCACATAACAACCACCACCTTGGGTTTCCAAGGCAGTATCACTAGGGAAATAGATTGCCCCATCTTCCTTCCAAGGAGTGGCTGGTGGGTTTGAACCTCCAGACTTCTGGTTATCAGTCAGGTGCCTTAGGCACTATGCTACCAGAGCTCCTAACAAAAATAGGAACGTTGTAAGTAGGAATTGACTTGATACACAACAACATGGATTGCGAAAATAGTAAGCAACTTTTAGGAGATACCCTATTTTCAGTCAACTACTTTTTTTTTTTTCTTTCGCTATAGTGTGCTCATATTAAACTGAAATATACAGAGATAAATAAAGAAAAACGTATGCCAACATTATAAAGTAACTAAAGTTAATAAGCCACTCCTTGGAAGGAAGGTTAAGCAATCTACTTCCATATTAATACTGCCTCTTAGTAATACTGCCTCGGAACCCAAGGAGGGGTCCCTAGAAGTTGGGTCTGCCTGGACTGGACTGACTCAATGGCAAATAACAAGGACACCAACAAAGTTAACAATCTGGTACAGTGACTGATAAGGAGCCCTGGTGGTGCCAGTGTTTAAGAGCTCTGCTGCTAACTGAAAGGTCTAAGATTTGAACCTACCAGTAACTCTGCAGGAGCCGTCTGTCTTGTAGGGTCACTGTGAGTTTGAATCTTCTTGAAGGCAATAGGTTTGGTTGTTTAATTTTCATAGTGACTGATTTTCTTACCTCTGTAATTACCTGCAAAGTCTTGACCTTATCTTCATTAGTCTGCCTCTTGGTTACTTTGTTTCTCAAAACACTGAGAACACACCCTTGCCCTTGAGAACTTTTGATCTTCCTGTGTCCTCTGCTTTGAATGTACTTTCAGCTCTCCTCATGTTTTAGTCTCTTCTCACCAAAATCTCTTCCTACTCTCCTTTATTTTTCACTTCCTAACATTCTAAATGTATTTTACTTTGTTACATTGTTTGTCTCCACCACTAGAAGGTGGACACCACAAAATAGTGCTTGCTCTATAATAAGCACTCAATAAATGTTTGTTGAGTGAATAAATTTATAAATGGGGATGGTGTACTTTTTCAAAATTCGAATTCATGCATACATATTACTCTAATTCTCTCTCAGTTACTGATGGATATTGTCAATTGATAGTGATTTAAGTAGCTGTTTGCAGTTTTTTTGTTGTTGTTGTTACTATAATGTTGTAATAAACATCCTTATACCTAATTCTTTATATTTTGTTGCTTTTATTTTTCCAAATAAATTTCTTCATGTGGGTCAATGTATTTTTAATTTAGTGGATAATTCTAAAATATTTTCCAGAAAGTTTAACACTGCCACCAGCATTATGTGAATGTTATTTCCTGGCCTACTTGCTGACATTTCTTAACCTAAAATTTAAGGGACGTAAAGAGAAACTTCCTTCAAATGTCATTTTATATTTTTCCATATATTAACACTCAAAGCTCGTACATAATTCCTAATCATACGTTAATTAGATGTAAATCAGTCCTCCCATATGCACTGTGTACATTCATAGACAGCTTTGAGTAGGGTGCACAAGTAGATAGAATTCTAGTGTAGTTGTTGTTGTTGTTATTTGCCATCGAGTCGACCCCAACTCATAGTGACCTCTCCGTAGGAATGCCCAACCTTCCTTCCAAGGAGTGGCTGGTGGGCACTATGTTACCAGAGCTCCTATTCTAGTGTAGAGGAGGGTATTACTTCTACTAGAAAGATTATCAGATTGACATCTTAGGGCTTGTTTCACTAATTTTTAAATTGCGATTAATGTCCTAGAAAATGAACTTTGTCTTTTGAAACATAATTCTGGTTCTATCATTTCTGATGGAAGAATATCACTGGAG